CAACAACAGTAACAATAATCATTAACCAAACATGGTACATTCGTTCCGGAGACTTATCCATTAAGTACCCCAGACACCCAGGGAGCTCCATACATCTCTGGATACCTGAAACTACTTGGAATTCCCAAATTAGGGCACCTGCTTTTTGCCTCTTTGCCCATTGTTCTTTTGGAGGGTGGGGTGTTCCTGATTTTCGCACACTTGCGGTACAGAAGGGGGTACCCCGATGTCTGCGGTTCAAGAATCCATGAAGATCCCCCCAAGCGCTCAACGGGTTATGGGTCTAGGGTTTAGGGTTTCGGGTTTAGGGTTTAGGGTTTAGGGTTAGGGTTCAAAGCAAGCTGGCTCCTGCCAACCCCCTGTGGCATTCTTTGCAAGGCTTTCAGGTACAAGCACTGCCGGTCCTCCACGGCGGAACCTATGTCGCTTGACTTGGCCTAAACCCTAAGCCCTAAGCCCTCAACCCAGATTGGTGAACCCCAACGGCTTTAGCAGTCTAGGGGCCATGTCTTGAGGACTGATCTTGTTGGGGGTAAGGCCTCTGGTGCCAAGGATGAGGCTGACATCATACGTAGGTCTTCAAGAGACTGATAAAGTACTTGGAGGTTCAGGGTACTTATAACCCAATTGCAAGCGTAGTGCCCTAATAGGGTTATAATGCTTGGGTTATAAGTTATACCCCAAACCCTTTTCAAGCAACCCTCAGCCCTCAAAACCGAAGTCTGTTGCTGGGGCCTCGATGAAGCCGCCTATGTTCCTCCCACGGCATCGACGCCGCGGCTTACGAAGCGGAGAAATTCAAAGCGAATTCTGAGAAGGGACTTGGGGACCGCATCTATCTCCGAACTCTAAAGACTTACAAGCCCCAGACTTTCAACATCTTGCTTCTTCCGGATTTTTTTACCCTAAACTGAACCCTAAACCCATAAGCCTCAGCAGGTGTGCATGGCCTTCCGATTCGGAATGCATGGTGAAGTTCTGTATCTTTCTGCGACTTGCTGGGCATTGCTGGGGTGTCTCCCGGTCTTGGTTTAGGGTTTATAGGGTTTAGGGTTCTGGGTTTAGTTTTGGGGTTGCAACTTATACACGGTAACCTGGTTAAATTTTGGGGAATTCCCAACAATTATCCAGGGGGTAAGGGAAAAAAGGTTACCCCTCGGTGGATTTTCGGGCACTTTGTTTCAGCTTCAGCTCTCAACCTAAAGCCAGACCCAGCAGAACCCACAAGGGGGGTTGAGGGTTCAAGGCCGAAACCCTAAACCCTAACCCCAAAACCCTACATTCGGGGTTCAGGGCTAAGAGAGGTCCAAGAGTCAGATATCCAGGTTGGCGGCGTAGCGTTGTTAGGGTTAAGGGTCTATGGGGGTTGAGAGGGCTTGAAGAGACCAGGACCCAGAGTCGGCGCTTCTTCCCTCTTTGTTCGGATTTAGGCTCCCTTCCCTTTTTGCCCCTTGAAACCATAAAGGGCACCCTTTTTTCTCATGTTGCTCTTGGTTCTAGGAGGTGCATTCCAGGGCTTACAGCATAGAGTTCGCGCGCTTATCGAGTTCAGAGGCTCACAGTTGGGATGTTCCGCCTTATACTAACAGTCCTCAATAGGTATTATAACAGGGGATACTAGAATCCCCGATTAAGGACTGTTAGTATAAGGGAGGAACATCCCAAGTTCACAGCGTCTCGAGTTCATCATTGCGAAGGTTCGCCAGGAAACGTGGTCATGTTGTTGTACACTGAGGGGGCAAAACAGTCTTTGAGAGCACTCCGAAGCCCAAACCCTAAACCCGAAAGGGTTTAGCTCCAAACCCTAAACCCTAAACCTAAAACCTAAATTCTGAGGGTTTAGGGCTTAGGGCCTCAAGGATGTGAGCAAAGTTCCTGACAAGACCATGGAGATTCTCAAAGCCAGCCGCGCTGAGGCCAGGTGCTTCTGTCCCCACCGGCCCAAATAAGGGTTTAGGGTTTAGAGCTTAGTGAAGAATAAGAAAACCACTGAACCCCACACCCCCTTCTATTTTCACCAAGCTGCATGTGGCACACCCGAGTAGTAGATGCTTGCACGGAAAGGGACAAGCACTTCGTATCAGAGTTCAGGTTTTTGTTTTGTGCTTAGGGTTGAGGCTTGGGGTTTGGGCGATAAGAAGCTAAGATGCGCTTTTGGGGTTTAGGGCTTATGGACTTCTGGACACCGGGCTTGGAGTTTGGAGTTTGGTTTTGTTTGGGACCTAAACGGCACCTAACACCATAAATGTAGGGTACCTCTGGGTTAGGATACCTCTGGGTTAGGGTTCAAGGATTCAGCCCTTGGGGTGCCTTGCCGAAGTGCCCAGCAAGGCGGTGGTCGAGTTTAGAGTGCAGTTCCTTTCGCAAGCGGATCGGATAGGCCTTTCAGGTTTAGAGTCCCTAGACCCGAAACCCGAAACCCTAAACCCTAAACCCAAACCCTAAAACAAAAGGGGCTGAGGTTGAGTTCTTGCATCGTGAATCTCCCGGGCGGTCACCCTAAGAACCTCAACCTGAAAGAGACCTGTCTCTTGCTTCGAGGTTCAGGGGTGCTTCAAGGTCGGGTTGTAGTACGGTTATACGCACTGTGGTTGTTGCTTTTGCTAGTGTGCTTCTCACCCGACCTATAAGTACCCATGAACCTGCAAGTAGACCCCTTCAGCCCTTCATAAGCCACCCCCCAAGCCCTATAAAACCTGTGTGGAGCGCTGGCAGATCCTGGTCGTCGACGCTCTGCTGAAGTCTGGCCAACTCCCCAGCATTTGCACTTTCAACTCGTGTGTAGGATCCCCTTAGAATAAGGGCCCCAAGAAGGTACCCCGAATTTCGTAAACCCCCATCTGCACTGCGGTGTTGGGCTTAGGGTTTGAGAGTTTTGGCAGCTGCGGGTTGCAGGGTTTGAGGGTTTAGGGTATTATACAACACGGCTTCGGCACATGCAGGGCTCACACCCTCCCTTTTAGACCCCCCCCCCCCCCCCGCCCATCCCAAAACCGGAATTTTTGGGGTTGGGATGCGACAGTCGCTTGCTTTTGGCAGCTCGAACTTGTGAGTTGCTTGGGGAGCCGAGGGTAGAGGGATTGGCGTGATTTAGGGTTTAGGATTTAGGGTTTAGGGTCTAGGGCTTTTCCTGCATGACCTGGAGCCTGCGGAATTCAGCACTCGGGGGCTTTTGGAGTAGAGCGCCAGCTTGAACAGCGTGCAAATCAGAGCTGCGACGCCAAACCGCCTGCGAAGCCTTCCTAGGGCACCACATGAACCCTAAAATGGGGGTCCTACTACCTATGACCTATCAAGGTATATGAACCATGAACCCTTTTAGGGTTCATGTGGTCCCCCAAGGTCGACACAGCCCTCAGACTCGGCTAGTAGCTTCAGCATCTTCTGGCCCACGCACGCCTGTGTCGACGGTGTCTCAAGTCCCCTCCCGAAAAGCTTTAAGGGCTAAGGGTTGGGATGTTCCCCCTTGTACTAACAGTCCTGAATAGGAATTATAATCGGGGGCACCATAATCCCTACTTTAGGACTGCTAGTACAAGGGGGAACATGCCAATCTAACCCGAACACATAAAGCCTCGAAGCCTAAGCCCTTCAAGGCAGCCTAGGAGACTGCAGCCGTGTACCCTTCCTTAAACCCCTTAGCACTGTTCAGGGAGTTAGGGTTGAGGGTTTAGGGTTAATTCTGGATAAGATAAGCCTTATAAACCCTAAGCCCTAAGAAACTCTAAGAATAAGCCCTAAACCCTGAATGAACTCTAAACCCTGAATCAATCCTCAACCCTGAATAAACCCTAAACCCTGAACGCGCGGGGCTGTGGGCGGAATTCCTGCTCAGGCCCAAGCTACTCGCACTTCAGCCTTCAGCAGGCCCTGGAACTGGCGCCCCGGACGTGCAAGAAGTTGAGGGTCCAGAGGTTTACAGGGGTAGGCTTGAAGCATTTGTTCTGTTTTTTGTTTTTACCCTCTAATCCCCTATGTAATCCTTAGAAAGCCAGAGATAATGTTTTTGTAGGCCCCCAAAACTACCTAGGGTTAGAGCCTAAAACTCACTAGAACTGAAGCTTTCCTACTTGCAACCTTACTTGTAACGACGTAGCCCACCAGCCTCCAAGTATGCCCTTGCAATGGTTAGTGTTTTCCTCATGGGTTCAAGAGGAGATTGTGTAGGGTTTAGGGTCAAAGGGTTTATCAAGCCATCCTGTGAAGGGTTAGGTTCGGTTAGGGCTTGGGATGTACAGGCCTCGTAGGGTTTGGGGGGACTTACGGGGGCCTGGTGGTAGGACGTTTTGGGGTTCACAGTTCCGGCTATAGGTCCAGGGCTTAGTACTTGCTAGGGCTTCGACAAACACCGTTTCGGGTTGGCAGTTTACTGTACACCCTACATACCTTATATACCCTAATATGTGATATGCCCTAATATGCCCTACAGATTCTTAAACCATAAAGTGACGATTTCCAAGCATCATGACCGCTTGGCTGTTGAACTGAAGTCTTGGCTTGAGTACACTTATGACAGTCTGGGGGGGGGGAACCTATACAAGAACTGTAGGCGCTTTTGTGGTTGGCAATAACCTAGCCATGATGCGTTTTGTCGGTTATGTCGGGGAAAGCGTAAGCCCTACACCCTAAACCCTACACCCCTCGTCATTATTCAGGAGTATTGGCATTGTGGCCCGGCCTCCGGGCGCGAATTGTCAAGAGCATCTTTCTTAAAGGGACACCCGTAGAAGTATTGGGGTTTAGGGTCTGGGGTTTAGGGTAGGATTGCAAGTGCCCTAAAAAAGGTTCTAACCATCGCTAAGCTACTTTCTAAGCTATTTCGAAGTAGCCATGAACCTCCAAATTCTCAACTGGGACACTATAGGGTGTCGGCTTAAGCAGACGAAGCCGTCGCAAGTGTTCTATGGATTGCACACGTGCATGATTTGTACGTGGCCATGAATTTCTTGCATCGGGGTTTAGCAAATGTGGTAAAGACCTGCCTAAGAACCGAGCCCGCCATGCTGCAGTGTGTGCTCCTGGTTGCGTGGTTTTTGTTGTTGTGGCGATTTCCTGGTTGCTCCTTCAGCGCCGCCAAGCAAGGGCCGTTGCGGCTGCTTCGGGAGAAGGCAGGCTTGGAGTTGCGCACAAAGGTCAACAACCCGAATATGACATACAGCGATGAGGCCAGAGTGTTGCTTGGAAACTGGTCCAACGTTAGAAAATTGAAAACGCGAGTTAGTTGTTACGCTGCAATATATGCAACAGAATGTCCTGTTTTGAAAGGGCTTGTACCACTGTTCATAGCACCGTCCAGGACAAATCGCTGATGCACGCGAACGAGGAGATTGGCACAAAGTGCGTTGCATTTTCCGCAGCTACAGCGGCAAGGAACTGCCAGTCTTTCACGCAGTGCTTCATGCAGCCTACAACTGTGGCCAGTTCAGGGAAGCAGCCGTGATTTATGACGAGCCTGGGCTTTCTCGAGGTTCCGTTTGTCTTCAGGTCTTGTAGCGAATCGAGCAGTCGAAGCCTGAGATGCATGTAGGTTATTTCGTTGGGCTCTATCTTGCTCCCCGATTGGATTTTTCAACCCAGCGAAGGAACTTCACAGTTTGAAGATCACCTTGGACGCAGCTGCTTTCGCCACAGGCATCAAGATTTTTGCGAAGCTGGAGGACCCAGTTCGCGTTCGCGAAATCTGGGCTAATGCTACGAGGTCGTGCGCCCTGGATGAGCTTCTTGCAGCAGCACGAATTGATGCTGCGGCAGCCGAAGGCGATATACGGACAGCTGCAGAAGTTTTGGACCTGATGAACCGCACTGGTGTCCAGATCAACATTGCTCATATCACCTCCGCGATACGTGCTTGCTGGGAGGCTCCTGGTTCCGGACATAACGCCGCCGAGTATCTCTTCAACCTTTTGCTGGAGAGGGGTCTGCAACCGAATGTTGTCATGTTCACAAGCCTCATGGGAGCCTACAGCAGCGCTCCCTTGTCACAGGTGCTGGCGGCGCGTGCGAAGATGAGGATGCTTCAGGTCCAAGCTAACAAGGCCTTTGTGGAGGTGTATTTAAACACTCTGCTTCAGATCACCAAGGAAGAGTGGAAAGATCTTCGCTCGGTTCAGGAGATGTCCACTAGGCTAGCGCACAGGTCGCCGGAGCGGCTTGCAGCCGCACGCGCTGCCCTGGCAGATTTCCGACGTGAACACGTGACCATGACAACACTTTCTGACAAGATTGAGCGCGCAATGAAGATGGTTGGAACTGACTGACGTCGAATTATGAACCTCACCTACATTCCCCAGAACCAGCGGTTCAGCAAATTTTCACAGCAAGGAAAGGATGATTCCGTTCTGCATCCGACTATTGCACAGCACACGGAGGAAACACGGATAGTTGTCAAGGCACTTTCAAGGCTTTGCTCAGTTGCTGTCACAAGGTGCCCTAAACCCCGAAGACAAAACCTTTCCAAAGAGTGAAGCTGCCACCAGGTGCGCGCCCTTCGGCCCAAAAGGGCCTTACTGGTGGGCATGCTCCTGGGCAGCAGAGTACAGCCGGACAAGCGCTTCACGCCCCCAAACTTAAAAGCTTATAGCCCCCAAAACCCGAAGACTAACTCCCAGAAGCCCCAGAACCTAAATAAAGCCTCAAACCTGATTAGACAGCTTACACTACGAAGTTGACTTGGGAACGTTGGGCTCCTGGAGGACATGAGGGCAGGGGGGGGTGGGGAGGGGGGGCGACGCTGCACGCGTGTGCCAGAACTACGTGTGGGTTTACAAAATTAGGGGGTGCCTTTTTGGGGTCCCTATCTATACTATTTTAGGGGTCCCATATTTTCGTAACCTCGCATGTAGGGTTTCGGGTTTAGGGCCTGAGGCACATGAGCGGGGGGAACACCTGGGGCCAGGTGGTCTTTGGTTCGGGTTTGGCGTTTACGGCCTTGAGGTTGCATAAACCCGAGACCCTAAACCATCAAACCCCATGTACCTTTAAATTACCAAACCCCGAACACGTACATATACCTACTTCAGTTGCCCTAGAACATAAACGGGAATTCCCAAGCCGACGCCGTCAGGTCCTGTCAATTCGATCACGAGCGTGACAACGCCGAGACTTGGACGAATGTTAAGCCCCAACCCGAAAGATATATACATATACACACACGTATCTATGTCTGTATATGCGATATGTATTACACTGGAAATTGTACATGTTTTGCTAATTGCATTTGCACTTGTGGTTCTGCTTGCCACTCTTACGATCCGTTGCAAACCCTAACTGGGTTGTGCTTTGGGGTCATTGTTAATGTGCCTTCTTTCCTTATAAGGGAACCAACCTGATCATAAATACTTTTCAAAGGGTTTTAAGCACAACTCAGCTAAACGACCCAAGACCCAAACCCTGGAGCCTTTGAGCATGAACTGCAGTGAGTCAAAGCCTTGCACATCCTTTCACCTCCTGAAACTTAAGCAGGAGCAGGGCGGGATGAATACGGATACTCTTATGGGGAATTCGGGGTGTTGGGGGGGGGGAGGGGTGTGTGGAAATTCAGATTTGAGGAAGCCGCTCCTCCACTCCCCTCAACCTTAAACCCGAAACACAAGTGAAGAAACCCCGAAACCCACTCCCCCTTGTTGACCTGTTCTGTCGATCTTTCAGAGTCAAGGAGCTGCGCAAAATGAGGAAGGAGGGCCTCGAGGCAAGTGAAGCCATTCTAGGGTTTGGGGATTTCCCGGGTTTAGGGTTTAGGAATTCGGGTTTAGGAGTTAGGGATTTCGGTCGGGAAGAGGGTACTTCTAAACAGGGTTATAAGTAGGGTAGCCGTGGTTGTAACCATATTTAGGCTACTTCAAAACTTACTTGCAGGCACCCATGAACCTTCAAGTATGGTCACAGTTAGGCCTGCCTTGTTCATGGTCACCCCCCATTTAAAACCAGAAAGTTGGGGAGGCTTGGGGTTCAGGGTTTAGGGCTTCGGGTTTAGGATCTCGCCGGACTCAGTAGCTTGTGCTCCACCTCCACGACTACTTGTAGTCATTCATTGTCCTCATCTTCGGAATACTAGAGCATCACAGTGGATAGTAACGAGCCTACAGAAACCTCAAACTCCAAGACACTAATTCCGAAACCCTGCGGCCACCAGCCCTGTAAACCCTTTAGCGACCCTACACCCGCAATCCCCTAATCCCTTGAATCTGTGTAGGTTGGCATGGGTCCCAAAGGCAGATCCATGAGTACCTGTGTCATCCTGCAGGTGGAGCTGGCGTTTGATGGCCTCCAGTTTGAACTCGAGCTGGAAGCAGCTCCCCTGCTTCCCGAACCAGAGGAGGCATAGCTCCCGTGAGACTCCTGAATTGCGGGCCGTGGTTCTACAGGGGTAGGTTGGAACATACACGCTTTTTACCTTTAATCCCCTTTATAATCCTTAGAAAGCCTTAAAACTTCAATTTTTATAGGGCCCCCAAACCTACCCCAGTCTAATGGTACAGAGCCCCAACAAAAAGTTCCATGATCCCAACGAGGCCTTTGCAAACTCCGCTTGCACTTTGGGGACCTGTTTGGATTGAAGAATTGAAGAGACCTGCAGTTCGTTGTCCGAGAGTCCTGGAGCGGCTCACCTGCACGCACACGAGGCCTCGAAACCAGCTAGTTCTCTTGGTGTTTCCTGGTACCGGAGGCTCCCGCCTAAACCATTAAGTATTAAAGGCTGACGCCGCTGCCGCCGACCCCCGAGGTAAGCGCTGCGGATGAAGTATGATTGATAGCCTTGGCCATTGGGGGGGTTCGGGACAGGGGGGTACGGGGGGGGGGGTAGGGTGCAGCCAGGGGGGGGGGGGGGGGGGGGGGGGGGGGGGGGGGGGGGGGGGGGGGGGGGGGGGGGGGGGGGGGGGGGGGGGGGGGGGGGGGGGGGGGGGGGGGGGGGGGGGGGGGGGGGGGGGGGGGGTGTGGGGGGGGGGGGGGGGGGGGGGGGGGGGGGGGTAGGGAAACGGCTCCAAAACGGGGTTCCACACGCTGGCGCCTACCAAAACACCAAAATGGTTGTTTTTGGAGGGAGGTGGGGGGGGGGGGGGGAGGAGCGGCTTTTTTTTTCTTTTTTCCTTTTGGGGGGGGGGTGGGTTAGGGAAACGGCTCCCACAAGCAGCAAAGCGGGGGGGGCGCGGTTGGGGGGGGAGGGGCGGGCTGGGGGGGGGGGGTAGGGAAACGGCTCCAAAAACGAGGGTTCCACCCGCTTGCTTGACCGCCTGGGGGGGGGGGGGGGGTGGTGGGGTGGGGGGGTTGGTGTGGGGTTGGAGGGGTCGGGAAACGGAAAAGTGTGAACGCGCTTGAATTGGTGTTTTCTCGTGGAGGGGGGGGGGGGCTTGTTGGGGGGGCGGGGGTTGTGGCGGGGGGGGGGGGGAGGGGCGGCTGGGGGGGGGGGGGGGGTAGGGAAACAGCTCCCAAAATGCGTAGATGGCTAGCACCAGATTCGTTGTTTTTTCTGGGTGCCCCTTTGTTTGTTTTGGAAGGCCCCCCCCCCCCCCCCCACCTCCCCCCCCCAAAAACCCCCCCCCCACCCGGCCAAACAGGTGGAACAACACGTTTTGGGAGGTTTTGCCCCACCCCCCCAGACCCCCCCCCCCCCCCACCCGCCCCCCACCGCCCCCACCCACCCCGACACCCCCGCGACCCCCGCCCACCCAATTTTACGTTCTGGAGCCGTTTCACCCCCCCCCCACCCGCTGCCTGCCCCTCCCCCCGCCCCCAACCCCCCCCCCGCCACCCCCCCTTCCACCCTCCACCAGCGGGCGGCCAAGATGGGAACGACACACGGGGAGCGCCAACCATGTGGAAGCCGCCCTCCCCACCACAACCCGCCCAAGCCGACCCCTCCCCCCCCCCCCTCAACCCCCCCCTCCTCCCCCCCCCCTCCCCTCCCCCCTCCCCCCCCTCCCTCCCCTCCACCCAAGCCAGAAATTGGTGTTTTGGAAGGCGGAACCACGCTTTGGGAGCCGTTTCCCAACCCCCCACCCCCCGCCCCCCCCCCCGCCCGCCCCCCCTCCTCCCCTCCACCCGGCTGGGGGGTGGGGGGGCAGGGAAACGGGCGTGGTTCCACCCGGCTTCCGGCGCCCAAGGGGAGGGAGGGGGGGGTTGGGGGGCGGGGTTGGGAAATGGGTCACAAAACGCGCGGCGTATGGAGGTGGGTTACAATACGCGCGGGTCCATCCACGTAGGAAGCAAGCCGCGCGGGTCCATGGGGAAGGCCACTAGCGGGTCCAGCGGGCAAGGTACGAGTCCAGCTTCTTGACGCCGACAAAGGGGGTCGGCGGATATGCACCCAGCCATGTGCGTTTCGAACCACGATGACTTTGTTTCGGCGTGCTCTCACCTATAGGCCGTGCAGAGGGCGAACGTCGGACGGCAAAGAGCGTGGGTTGTTTCGGGAGCCTCGGTCGCCCACATGCTGCGCCTGGGTCCCGTGCACTTTTTGAGGCTTGCTTGCTCGATGTCGCGCAAGCGTTGCAACGCTAAATAAGGCTATAACCATAGCTACCCTACCGAAAATGACCCTACTTATAAGTACCCACGCACTTCCGGATTTTTCCGAGCGAGGAAGCAGTTAGCAGCTCCTGCCTCACTTCCAAACAGTTTGCCAGCGTCGACTGAGATTCAGGGGCCCATGAACTTCCCGGTCTGCAAGTACTAGTCGTTGTACAGGGGCTCGGGTATGCGCGGTCTGAAGGTGAGGCAGCCTCACAGGGTTTGTGTTTGTTTTCTATGCTGGGGTGGAACTTTTTCGGTTTAAGGGTTCAAGGTTCAGGGTCTAGGGTTTAGGGTTTAGGGCTTAGGCAATCTACCAGTAGCCTTCGTCTACTAGTGCTTCACACGGCACGGTGGTGCCGAAGCCCAATCCTCCCACCGCATGACGAGGATGAGGATGGGGCATCGCCCTGAAAGGCCCTAACTATGGGCACTGGAATCTTAGATAAGAGGTAGTCCTAAACCCCAACCCCGAAAAAACCCTCTCACTCCGAGGAGCCGGGACCTTAAACCCTAAACTCTACACTCCAAGCCCTAAACCCTAAGCCCTAAACCCCAAAACTTTGGCTTGTTCCCCGTTATATTCAGAGTCCTTAATAGGGATTATAGTACCCCCTGTCATAATCCCTAGTAAGGAAGGTAAGTATAAGGGGGGCCATCCCAACCTAAACCCTCACTAAACCTCAATCCCTTGGAGGAGGAGGATGAGTCCTATGAACTTCAACTCCCTGAAGCACCGGGCTACGCAGCGCCCCGGCACAGCTCGTCCTTTACGGGTTTAGGGTTTAGGTTTTCAGGTTTGGGGTTTAGGTTTAGGGTTCGGAGTTGCGCTGCGGCGGTTTACGGTTTGGAGTGGCCAAGGTCGGAAGTTGTTGTTGTTTGTTTTTGAAAATAAATTTTGGGAGGGGGGGCATGATCGGGCTGTGGGTTGATTTTGGAGATTGTGCAAGCTTGACCGCCTCTGCCACCAAGGCTTGGCTACGGCAGCTCGCGACGCGCATATGTTTTAAGTCATAAAAAAGGGGTCTAGGGTTTTGGGTTTTGGGTTTCTAGGCTTTTTCAAGTTTTTGGTTTGTAGGGTTTAGAGTTTAGGGTTGCCGTGGTTGAGAGCTGATGTACTCATCAAGTTGCATCTACCGTCTTCGTCGCATCTGTGCATACCTGATTGCTAGACCTCTAGCACTGTCGCCTCAGACCCTCCAAAACCTTAATTTACACCCTATCTGGATCCCTACTTGGAGGAGTATTCAGAAGTAGGGTTATAAGTAGTGTAACTATGGTGATAATTAGCCGTATAAGTATAGGATACGTATAACCCCACTTATGAGTACCCATGAAGCGTGAAGTAGAGCCTCAAAGATGGTTGGGAAGGGCGCGCAGAACTAAGCCGTGACCTCCGACAGCAAGCGGGCTTCGGGCTTCTGGCTTGGTGTTTGGGGCTTCGGGTTGTTTTTGAATGCGGTTTTGAAGCCCCAAACTCCAACCGCTCGAATGTCTTGGTGGGCCCAGCTCCGGCACAAGTTGGCCTTTGGTTCTTATTTGGGGGCTTCCGCAATTAGGGTACCCAATCGGGGTCCTTTGTTTAAGGGGATCCTACTATTTGTGGATCATTCTCGTAAACCGCCCGTTTGGCAAGCAGGTGGGAAGAAACCCTGTTCCATCCGTTCCCTCATCTGAAACCCAGACCTAAACCCTTTGGAAGCATCTCACTTTCGAAGCCCTAAACCCGAACTCCTGCAGCGCCCTTCGTGCTTCAAGGGAACGAGAAGGCTCGGATATAACAAAAATTCACACCATAGCGAACTTAAACGTTCAATTTACTTCATTTTTTGGGGAAGGCTTGCGTCATAACTTTAACTGACAGATCCTCAAAAAGCAATCTTGTGACTGATCAAAGCTGCACAGCACAGATCTCCTACAAATGACAACCTGTCCGGCATTGTTAGCCGACCCCCTCCGGCAGGGGCCATTTACGGTTGAGGTTTCATTGTTGGGGGTTTAGGGTTTAGGGTTTAGGGCTTCCGGCCATCGCCGCCATGCGCGTTCGTCTTGGCGCCCTTCTCCTGCCTCCAGCTCAGGTGGGATGAGGAAATCTGTTCGGCACGCTGAGGAAAGTTTGCCTTTCTGAGTCCGTAATTTCTTTGTAGGGTCCTCAAGGGACGGGGGTTCAAGGGGGGTAAGTAACCCAAGTTTCCCTGATACTCCCACTACGCTCTACGGCTCCTAAACCCTTAACAAGGGAACGGGCCTGGGCCCCTTCAGGCTGGAGTTTCTTTCACCTTGCGGCGAGTTGAGAAACTGTAAATAGGTCCAAAAAAATGGCCGGCAATTGAATCAAATGCCAGGCCGGACAACTTGTCTTACCGTAATCCCACAAAGGGAAAAGCCGGGAAAAGCCGTACACACCCCAAAGCACTCCCATCCGACTTATATGAACCTCCAGAAAGGGCACCCCCTTTTGGTCCTATTGGGACCCCCCCAAACCGCTTCATTCTGCACATTGCTGCCAAGGGCAATTACAGTGCCCTTCCTCCTGACCTTTGCCGGACCATGGAAAGCCAGGAGTCCGATGTTGCACGAAAAGAGTTCAGGGTTTAGAGTTTAGGGCTTAGGGTCCAGCGATTAGGGTTATGTTGTGTTTAGCACAAAGAGGTCAGGTCAATTCCATGGGGTGCTGTTTAGATGTACATGTAACTTTTGGGTTTGGGCCTGGGATAGAAGCCGACTTCTTCGTGGACAAGCCGGAATAGAGGACGAGACTTTGTGCCCGTTCGCAGCTGTAAGCTGCTCAAGAAGGGCCCTTCTAGTATTGTAGCAGCCGAATCTGTACAGTTTTCGCCCCCGTGGATAGTATTCCTGTACGTCGTGGACTTGATTGGCCAACTCGCATCCGGAGGAAAGAGGAGCCAAAAGGGTCGGGCGTTGACGAGGAATAGATCCTTTTCCCTAACCTCGGGATAGTTATCTGTTCTCTTTACAACTCATAGCCGGAGGCCGGAGGATACTGAGTGCAGGTGGCTGTTCAGGTGAATATCGGGATAGGTGTACAACACGCAGCCGGACGGCTAGTGGATACATCTAGAGCGATAGGTTACCACCCCCTGGAGATAGCAACTCTGGGGATCCTTCCGATAGTTAACGTCGGGAGTGGCTCGGAACGATTGGCTAGCTACCTTGAGTTCCCCGTTGACAGGGATACTGTTACTTCTGGTGCAACATTACAACCTACAACTGTAAATATACAACTTCTTTCTCCTCGTGTGGCCTGAGCTAGTTACTGGAACGGGTTGCGCAAGTTTTCATTGGATTGGACACTTCGCACAGGTTAAGAGCCTTGTTGCTTGGCCTGGACGAGCTGTTCGAGAAGTTTTCTTGGTATAGCGAAGAGGTACCACTTGCATAGCGAAGTTTTCCGCATTTGTCACTTGTGTTCGTTGACTGCAGCAATGTCCACACGTGATAGCATTGGGAGCAGTGAGTCTAGCGATAGTGATGTGTTGGGAGTAGGGAATAGATTTCTCGAGGACCAGGTCACTGCGGTCAATCAGGACGTGGCCGCTGCCGATAGTCATGTGAGAAGCATAGCCGACGCCGAGAACGTGAACTTCATCGACGACGGACGGAATAGTGGAAGGACGGGAATGGAGATGGATAGCAGTGATGATAGAGATCGCCTCGGCCTCAGTTTCTCAGGACCGCTTACTATAGACATCAGGTCGAGTGCTGCGAATAATATGTTAGTGTCAGGACCACCCCCAGGACTGACGGATAGAAACTTGGAGATCGTGGCGGCGATGGATAGCGTGGGGAGGTCGGGAGGACTGGGCTATGCCGGAATAGCGGACACGTCGGGCACTCAGGGGAGGGACGCAGACGAAGGATTGCAGGAGTTGCTCGCAATCCCGTCGATAGCAGATAGAGGGGATGCCGTAATGCAGCTCAGCATGCTTGCAAGCCGTCCTGTAGTGTTTGATCCAGTTATGGGAGCTACAGATTTAAATGAGTATAGGGCCGGAAAAGGTGGGATAGAAGCGGGAAACGCTAGGACTCCGACGCTTGCTATCGAGGATCTGGCTGGAATAGATGAAAGGATGGAAGAGGGACCGTTCGTCATCCCCTCCGAGCCTGTGTCCCACGGGACGAATTACGAGTCAACGGGAGGTGCCAAGGGAATCACTGGTCCCAGGTTAGAAATGGCGATCGAGGACAGAGTGGATAGTCTTGCAGTGTCATCATCGTCAGATCATGATAGGACGATCAGGAGGAATGATGATGGAATAGATGCGATGATGCCCAGTGGCGAGCTCGGTGCGGAGGGCGATCGAACGAGAAGTGCGGATAGCGGACATTGGATGGGCAGAGGGAATGGAGATGATCTCGTTCCTGGAGTGTATTCGAATAGTGCGACCATGATTGGGAATGTCGGTGCCGATCCTACAGACCTGGAGTTGATAGCTAAGGGATCGTCAGCGGTAGCGCAGAACGTGGTCAGTGAGAGCGATGATAGAGCACTGTATGTATTTTCATCTACAGGTCTCTCGGAGGCATCACCAGGCGGGAACGTTGAAGCGTTGAAAGATGTGGGTATGGGTCAGACTACAACGATCGGAATAGAGTGGGGATCCCATGGAATCCGGAGTACGCTCGAGGAAACGGGGGTCATCACTGACATGGACTTTGTGAAGTTCTTCACAGATCAGGGGCCAGGAGAGCCTGGATCAACGCCCATAACGATGCAATCGGATTCGCAGGAACGGTGGAACGCTGGGATATATGGTGCCGAGATCGCAGGGGTAGAGAAAGACAGGTCACGAAAGATGTCGATGGGGTCGGATAGTGGGCACTCAGGTGGTCGATCTACATCATTGAAGAGGGATAGCCCGGGTGGATCGGAAAATGGAGTTGGTACCACCAGCAAGATAGGCAAGATGGATGAGGGACTGCGTAAGCAACGAGCGGAGCAGGCCGTTAAGGAGATGAACCAGATAGCCGAGAGCGTCCCCGCAGCGAAGAAGTCGAAATCGACAGAAATTGGGGGACCGATCCATCAGGCAGGAATGATCACCCCGGATCAGGGTAGCGAAGGATGGGGCAATCGATCCCCGGCTCCACGATCTCCTGGGATAGGTGGGCAGTACGAGCATTTCGGGATCGATACTCCTCCTGAAGGACGAGGCAGGAACGACGAGATGAGGGCAACATCATCCCCACCCAGGCGGGCAAAGATGAGAGCTCCTGCTGATCCGGACAAGTCGTCGTTGGGAGAGATAGATGGCAGGATAGATGACTTGCAGACGGTGGTTGTGGACACGCAGACCGACGTAGCCAAGCTTAAGGTGGCAAGCGAATGTGCAAGTGCAATTGCTAATAGCTCAGCGGAAAAGGCGGACGTCGTGAGCAAGAGATTGGTGGAATGCGAGGAGGAGGTGAAACACTGGAAAGGTTGGATAGAATCGCAGCAGATAGATACCAAGACAACACTGTCGCAGGAGCTGAAAGAGATGAGTCGGATCATGGACGGGAGCGTCAGCGAGGATAGGATGGATGATGCAATGGCTCCGCAACTGACCGAGGGAGCAATGCAGCTCGCACGGAGAATGAGACGGCAGGTTGAAAACGTGAAGGTGCTCAAGACCTCTGTTACGACTAGATTGAAGGGAGTGGAGGAGCGATTGTCCACAGCGGAGCATTCAGCGGACATAGCCAAACAGAGTACCGGGACGAAGATCACCACGTTAGAGACAGGATTGAACGAGGTGAGACGTGGCATAGGTGTAGTCTTCTCGAGCATGCAAATGCGACACGAGAATGGAACATGGAAGAACGAGAGACTGGATAAAGTAGAGACGGTTTTGAATAGACAGTGGGACCAGATCAAGATAGCGGGCGAGGAACTAAGGAAGCTGAAGTCCAAGGGGAGCCAGAAAGCCGGAACAGATACGGCATCGTCGTCACATTGCAACAGCCAAGGAAAAGGTCCTGGATGCGGATGCAGAGAACCTGGCGAGGGTCACGGCACGTGCATAGATGGGGCAGTGCGGGGCGAAACCAAGAAGCTGAGTGAAGTGGTTCTGGCGCAGAAGGAACACATAATGACCGTCGCGAGAGAGGTGATAAAGAACCGCAAAAGCGTGGCTGAGATTGTGGCGAACATGACGAAGGTTCACAAGACTTGCGAGAATGTCGCGGCAAGGACCGATCGGATGGATGAGAAGAGAAACGGAGAACAGGCCTGGGTGAAGGATACCGTGCGAAAGATGGAAAAGACAATGGAGTCAATGTCGAGCCGTATGATAGATGAACAGAAGAGAGTCACGGGCGAATTTATCCTTGTCAATGCTCGAATTGATGAGAGCGCACGGAACGAAGGGCTAGGCAAGATGCGAGGAAACAGTGCGGAGATAGGAAAGCCACCGACCATGTCACGCGGACGAGATAGTCATGGTGGGAGTGGGGGAGCTGACGGAAGAGCCAGGAGCGACAACGCCCGAGGAATAGAGACCTCGAGGACGGAGTCGGCAGGTCCAGTGAGAATAAATGCATTGTATTAGAACAGCAGGTGACCAAGATCACTAGTCAATTGCAGGGGTTGACCACTGTGAATGAGCGGATCGTGAGGGAGAACGCTAGCCTGCTTAGTGAGATAGAAAGCATGAAGGGGGAGAACAAAGGAGTGACAGAGTCGGTAGCGCGGATGGTTCGGGATAGTAGAGATGAGATATCTAAAATGAGAGCGGATCTTGATCTCCGAGGTAGAGAAATGATAGAACTCAAGGAGAAGAACGAGCAGTTGGAGGCAATGGTACGGGAATATGAACGGAGACTGGAGCAGGTGAAACGAAACGATAGCCTTAAAGCAGAGCTGGATAGCATGTGGCATAGAATCGGTGAGATCGGCAAGCCAAGCTCCGAGTACGCCATGCCAGCGCCGGGTGCGGGAGGTGCTTCGAACGCTGGCTCCGCAAGACCAAGTGCCGGTGCCACGCCTGCGCCAAGTTCTTTTGGGGATAGAAGAGAACATGGAAGAAAGGATAGGCAGGGAGATGGAGGTTTGTTGGGGGAAGAGACTAGGATTAGAAGGTGCCCCGTGTGTGTTAGACAAGCGGAAATGATGATTGCGTGCCAAGGTTGCGGAAGAGAAGTGTGTGGTAATTGCTATGAATACCATGATGACTTGTGCATGCTGTGCTCCACTGATAGACGGGGATGCGATGCCGGAGGGTATGCAGGGACAGGACTTCCAAGGCCGCAGAGTGGACGCGATCGTGAAGGGGACGATGCCAGGTTCAGAAATCCGGTAGGCGGAGGGTATAACAAGTTCAAGGACACCAGAGGGATGGAGAAATGTAACGAGATATCGATAGCGAAGGAGCCATCATCCGGGGAAGTAGGACTGTGGCTGGGCGATGTTGCACACACTGCGAAGGCTGCGTATCTGTATGACGGGGACTATGCATACACGCAGGTATTGAGGGTACGCGAAAGGAGCGAAGCGATGATAGACATGGAACTCAAGTATCCTGCGTTGGAGAACCAGCTTTTTAGCGGATTAAAGAGAGCAATAAAGTCAGAGTCATTGTCGGCGAAGGTGAAGATGGAGATGTACAAGACTCAGCAAGTGGGGGATGGAAAGCCGATGACGGCCATGAGATTGCTTACGCTGATAGTAAAGCATGTTGAGATCCCGATTGCAAAAGAGAGTCAGGTGCTGTACGATGGCCTGAGTAGCACGAAGGTGATGAGTTTCCCGGGGAAGCCCGAAGAGGAGGCACTGGAGGAGTTCATGACTAGATGGGATCTAGCGCACACGAACCTTATAGGACTGAAAGGCAATACCTGGAGCGAGCAACAGCTGGGATGGATGTTGCATTCGAAAGTGCAGAGAGTTCAGGTGCTGAACCACGATATTGAGGCATGGAACTGCTTCCGGACGAGGCCAAGACTCATACCTGGTTGCGAAAGAGAATCAAGGATAGACTGGAGATGTGGAGAGCGGACAAGAACATAGACGAGGCATCAATGCGGGTGAGTCGACAGGCATTCACGAGTGGGTACGCTGCGATGCCGGCTCAGCAGGGATCGTATAGAGCACCGGTGAATAGAAGAAGCGCATACGCCGATGATAGACCGAGGAGTTCATCGCCCGCAGGGGGAAATAGCTACGGAAGAGGGATATCTGTGGGAAGAGGCAGGGACGGACTTTCGCAGGCGGGGAGAGCCGATGACCCGAAGAATAGATATGGATCCAAGTCGCCGTTTGGAAAAAGAGGGGTCTGCTACCCCTATACGCGTGGAACTTGCCCGATGACTGCGGCGGACTGCAAGCATTCGCACGATATTTATCTGTATAGTCAGGCGGAAGAGGTCCTCAAGAAGGCGGGGTACTGCTTTGAGCATTTTCGGTACGGCAGCTGCAGAAACGACAAGTGTAAAATGCTCCATGAGGCTATCCCGAATAGCATTAGGGAGGCTTTTGAAACGGTAGAGATAGAGCAGAAGGAGACGAGGCCGTCGAGCCCACATGCTGATGGTGAAGGGCCAAGTTTTCGCTAGGGGCGGGCCGAAACCCACAGGCCAGCGAGGATAGCCAGGTATATGCGGCCATGCCTGTGGTACGACAAGGGGATGATGGCGCCGAAGGCACGCATAGGGGAATACTGGTGACAACGACAGGCAGGGAGCGAGTGAAGAAGGGTAATAGGCGAGTCAAGGGGTTGGGCTCCGAAGAGACGGGGATAGCAGGACTGGATATATGCTATTGGAAAGGACACACAGCTGATAAGATGGTACGAAAATGCAAAAACGTACACAAGAAGGGGTATGTACATGATGTGAAACGATATCCCGTGATTGAAGAGGCAAAGGCAAGGCTACGAGGAATATCCCTAGCCGAAGAGGTCGTGCTGGACATACTTGCCGGGGAGCAAGGCGAGGAAGGTAGGGATGCATCAAGACTGGCTGATAGGATAGTGGAGGAATGCAGGAGAATAGGTATAGTCGACGAGAGATTCCGCGTGGATAGTCGAGAGGTTAGTCAACCGGCGGCGTCTGCACAACATTGCTTGCCCCCGGTAATGAGACGATGGATGATAGACTCGGGGTGCGCTATGGATCTAATAGCAGAAGCAGACCTCACCCAGGATGAAAAAGATATGGCCATTGAGGCGAAGAAAGTGAGGTTCAACACTGCCAACGGCAACACCACGTCAAAGCAAGAGATATGCATGGATATACAAGGGATGCCTGAGACGATGAGGATTAGAATGCTCGAGAGTACTCCCGCTGTTCTATCGATGGGGAGGAGATGTATGAAAATGGGATATTCATTTCATTGGCTGGCGGGTGCAAACCCCGTGTTCGTCAAGCCTGATTCGAGCTTGATAGTGCTAAAAGTCATCGGCGATATCCCATACATGGTGGATAGAATGTCAACGGTTGTTAACGAAAGTGAGCGTAATGACTATCACATCTATCCTGCTATGCCAGCGCCTCTTGCGATTGAACTGCCCGTGCGAGGAAATTCCAGTCCGAGGAGGCTTGAAGAGAAACAGGATGAATGTAGCCCCAAAAGCGTGGACTCGGACACGGATAGAGACACCGAGGAGGAACCGATAGGAAAGGCCACCAACGACGACGGGAGGCTACTAGACAAGTGGATGTTAACGGGTAATAAAGCGGTGTGTTTCCACAACAAGCCAAGAACGAAGACTTGCGATCCATGGTTTGAAACACTGAAATTCCCAGAGATACATGCACTTGTGCCGCGATTCGCCGAGAGATGTAGATCCAAACGTGTGTACAAAGATGGCAAAACCGTGGCGGAATGGATAGACTGGGTGGACAAGTGCAGTGAGGGAGAGAATAGAGACGCGGAAGAGGACTTATGGACAGGCAAGACCATGTTCAAGATAGAAGGGCTCACATTCGAAGGAGCGGATGCAGGAGAAGCGGTGCAGAGCGATAGCGCGAAGGTGAGAAAACATATCTTGAATAGAATGGCTGCGGATGAAGACGCGGGGCTAGATGACCTGACGATGATGCTGGACAAGAATATCGGTACCGGTGGCGAGGCAGAGACGCTAGTCGAGATAGCAAGGTGTTTATGGCCACTTGCTCCTCAAGAGATACTTGACGGCGGAAAGGCACATAAGCCCCAGGGAGAAACGAGACCTGAAATCATGAAGATAAGGAAAGCGATTGAAGGGAGCAGAAGGGTTATTGTGCACATTTGTTGTGGAAAGTCAAGGGGAAAGTTTGATGACATCGCAAGCGAACTGGGAATGAGTGTGATAGATATCGATATGGAGGAAGAACGTGCTGCGATCTGATACATGGTGGTGGCTAGTGAAGCTGGCCACGACCAATTTGGTTTTTTGCTGGCTAGCCGGACCGCCTTGCAGAACGAGGTCCGTGATGAGATACAGAAGGCCTGGTCCGATTCCGCTTAGGTCGAGGAACGGACCGGAGAGGTGGGGATACTCATTTATCAGTTGGGCACAGAAGCAGGAATGCCGGGACGACGATATCATCATACTGCGCGTGTGCATGCTTGTGGTGATAGGAAAGGCACGTCACCGACGATTGAGAGCCCCAACGATGTGTCTCATTGAGCAGCCCCAGGACCCCGAGACGTATTGGGATGATACGCCAGAGGGGGGATACGCATCATTGTGGGCGACAGAAGAATGGGATAGGACGAGTGCCATCCTAGGAACGAAGCTGTTCAGTTTTGATCAGGGACCGATGGGACACTCTAGGAAAAAGCCGACAACGATAGCGACTGACGCAGAGTTGATAGGATGGGCGGTCAATCTTAGAGGACCAGGGACTGGAGCGGCGAATGATAGCAGTGATAGAAGCAAGGGCGAGATGAGCGAATCGCAGAACTGGGCGGAGTGGGCACCGGGATTAGTGCGAGCCATTAAGGAGACTATGCGTAAGCACCACCGAGTATCATCAGTGGCCGAAAAGGGGATAGACGAGAGGAATAGGGAGACAACGATAGAACAAGATGATAGTGATGGTCGACTGAGAACGACATTCTACTGCGCCGCGTGTAAGGCTGATTCATCCGGGGTATGCGGGTTTTGTGAAAGAGCTTTAAGTCCCGAGCAGATTGAGGCGGGACAAAGCGCACGCAATATGACGGATGTGGAGTTTCAGCTCGTCCGCGGAATGAAGAAGAATCCGGATGACGACCTAAGGATCGCGGAGCAAGTCGTCGCTGTACCCGGCGAAGAAGAAAGCACCGAAAACGGAGGCGAATTGGATGTTGATATAGATTTACCCGGAATAGCCGACGAAGAACAGGCCAGAAGAGGAGTGGGAGAGCCTCAGAAGGATGATAGCGCCGGTGGCATGGGAGAAGTGGAACAAACAGAGGCAGAAGTCGGACCTGCAGATCAAGTTCGAGTTGCGGATAGACTTGGCGAAGGGATAGGGTCGAGCAAAGCTGTGAGCATCCGGAGAGCAAGATACTCACCGGAGTATGCAAAATCGGCGGAACATTTGCTCACGCATCTCCCAAAGAACATGCACTGCGTTGCCTGTCGACAAGGCAAAGCAATAAACGTTCCCTTCAACAGGGGCGAAGGCATCACCGACAAGGGTGCCGAGAAGTTCGGAGAGAGGGTCACTGCTGACACGATAGTGCTTCGCAGCAACAAAGACAAGGGAATCCGCGGAGAAAACAACGCAATCGTGATGTTCGACTTCAAGACACAGTGGATACACTGCACGCCCGTGAAGTCCAGAGGAACGGATGAGTTTGTGCGAGCTATCAACGAGTTCCGAGGCCCAGATATGGTGGTGCATCTGTACGCAGACGGAGCCGGTGAATTCTCAAAAGCCTGCGATGTCATAGGAACTTGCAGGGCGACTTCTACACCCGGATTACCCCGAACGAATAGCATAGCCGAGCTCAAGGTCAAAGAAGTAATCTACGGTGGCAGAGTATTACTGAGACAAGCAGGACTAGAACCGAAGTGGTGGCCATACGCTGTGCAGACGTTCTGCTTCCATAGGAACGTACAACAGGTGGACGGGGTAAGCCCGTACGGGAAAAGACATGGCAACGAGCAAGACAAAGTGAAACTGATTCCTTTCGGGGCACTTGTTAACTACCTCCCCATTGCCGAAAAGCCTAGAAAAGCTGGCAAAGAGGACGCGGCCCTGCTCGAACGGGGGGATCCTGAAAATGACGCTCTTGAGATTCTCGGAGCTGATGAAGATGTTTCGAGCATGGCCTTGCCCTCTGAAACGAAGGAAACCAAAGAACAACGCTCGCAAAGGGAGGAAGAGCTGAGAGAGATCGATAGACGTGCGCTCGATATGGTCATGACGCAGGACTTTGATGTGCAGCATGCAAAGGACATCATCCTGAAGTTCACTTCGATAGAAAAAGGAATAGCGAAGAATTCGCGGAGCATGGCCACCGGTAGAGGGTTCATAGTCCTGGGGCTGTATGCGTACGGAGGAAAGGTTGGCATTACGAATAGTGCCAAAGAATATCCGGGGATAGCCATGGTGTGCTGCGAGCTGATAGCAAAATGTTTCCCAGAAGCTACTTTTACAACGGTGATTGTGTCTGTCGGAACCAGGATGGGGCCTCACAAGGACAAGTTTAACGAGAGCCAGACGTACAACTTTGTTGTGCCGGTAAGCGAGAGGGCGGGTGAAGCTATGATCTGGACAGAAGAGGAACAGTGTGAGAATGAGAGTGGCGACGCCGCCGGGATAAAGAAAGAGGTGCTTCCGGGAAAATGGATATGGGGAAGGACTCGGAAGGTTGATAGTGGGCTAAAGTTCAATCCAAGAGTTTGGCATGCTACCGAAGATGCCTTGGCGCCGGAGGATAGAGTGATAGCGGTGGGATATACCCTGGCAGCGGGTAAAAAGGCATCTGTGGACGACAAGTGGAAGTTGATGAGGCTGGGCTTCAGATTGGATGAGCACTTTGCGACATTAGCGGATGGCTTATGCCAGGCAGCGTGTGCAGACAACGGTGGGGATGGGGAAGAATATGTAGATCACGACGCCGAGGAAGAGCAAGCGTATGCCATGGCATCCAAGGCAAAGTTCGACACTCCGACATCACCCGGATTGTTCCTAGGTTACGCGCTCCAACCAGGGGGTGTTCCGAGCGGAGACTATATAGTGGTTGAGCTGGCGCACCTGTATCACGGATGGACGGTACCGTCGATACACCGCGTGAAGAGGATAGTACTTGACGAGGAGATGCCCAACTACTTCCCGATGCAAGCTGTGGCTGATAGGAAGTCGAGAATCATGACAGCGACTCGAGCTGATGCCCTGGCCAGATTGGAACTGGAGAGAGAGGGGCAGCAAGGAGAGGAGACGGAGGAAATCTTCGCAGAGGAGAGAAGGGTACGAGCCGATGTGATGAGACAAATTAAGTGCGACGATCAGCATCTTCAAAACGGGGATTTCTGGGAACATGATGAGATAGACCATTCGTGGACGCTTCATCACATCTTACCCCGAAAGGAGCTGTGTACCCCAGGCGAGGAGGTCAAAGGTACAGGTGGCCCCGGGGATAGAGAGCTGGGTCCAAGGAGGCGAACGTGGATAGTGTACGCCGATGGTACATCGGAGGTACTGGATGAGGATAGAATGAAGGGCAAGAAGAAGATCACCAAGAAATGGACGGGGTGCACTACGTTCTGGGAAAAGGGGGAGCCTGAGGGAGAGATAGAGGATGAAGCCAGGGAGCGGGCGCGGGGAGAGAAGGCGACGGGTATACGGGGGGTGGGTTTAGACTACGAACAGGACATGCCCAGGATAGAACGGCCGTACGCGAGATCTCACAAACCCAACTCCATTTCGTCGGCAGAGTGGAATAGGATGAGTCCGGGACAGCGACTGCGCTATATAGAGGGAGACAAAGAGAGGATCATTAGAGGAGAGAGGCCTCCCTCTGCCGCTCGAGGGCAAGAGGAAATAGGACCGCGTCCCGCAGAAATTGGAGTTCGAGAATGGAGGGAGAAAATCACCGACCATGGCCAGGACTTCTCACCGCAGGAGTACCGATGGGATTCTCCATCGGGAATGCCTGAGGGTGGCCGAGTGTGGGCAGTAAGAAACAATCGCGCCACATCCTACCGATTCTATGGCGGAAGGGACAAAAGACGGCTCGAGCTCTGGTGGAGGGTCACTCGGAGCGCCAATACTGGAGAGGTCTTAGAATCCATTGAGTATGACTCATGCATACAGGCGGAGATGATGCGCAATAGAGGGAGATACCGATTCGTTGTGCCCAGGGACATCATCACGGAGTTCTGGTACATCCCCGACGGAGGAGAAGACCGACGAATCAGGGATAGAGGAGAATCAGCAGAACCTGCCGCACCGGCATCCAGGATGGGAGATACTGAGGAGGTTGCGAAAACCATCAATCAATTGTGCAGCACAGCTGGAATAGCGCGAACGCCGTCCGACAACATCATTGGGGAAATAATGAGGGAGTTGGGCGAGCAGCCTAAAGTGCAGGTCATGGGGGTCGGAATAGAGGAAATAGGGGATAACGGAGGTGAGAACGTATCTTGGATATCGGGGGAAGGATGTGTGATAGGAGAGGGCGTGACGGATGTGGTCATCGCTATCGATGCGTCTAGCGAGGGCATGAGTGTAGAAGTTGATCGAAAGGCATCCGGTTGGAGACGTGAGGAAGGTCTAGATAGTACGCGAGAGGCTCGAGATAGAGTGTTTGGTAACATAGAAAAGGTTATCACCGACGCCAACAGCAGAGGAATAGTGGCTACGACCATCTGGATAGGCGGCAAAAGTCGATTGGCCGACGAGACCATTGTTAGAATGGCGCTTGCCTGGGACATGTGGATAGTACGGAGTGATGGATGCATGCTGGGTATGAATGACGGGGTGGACGCGTCGTGTTACATAGGAATGATCACACCATGTATGATGAATGCGATCGCGGCGGACATGTTAGCATGCGATCATATGCCAAGGGATCATGAGTTAATGTCGCACATGGTGAGGATATCGGACACGAAAATGGACGTACAACGAGAGCAGGAGCATAAAGCGATACGCGAAATGATCAAGGTGATAGAGGACGTGGTAAACATCTGCGGCGAGGAAGAGGGTGACTCGGTGTCGATGGCATGTGAAGAACACGAGGGAGAATATCTCGGATATAGCAGTGGTATGGTGACACTGGACGTGGACTCCTTGGCACAGCTGGAAAAGGGAACGATTAGAGGTGACGAGACTGGGGGATCACTAGAGAAGCTGCTGAAGATAGCCAAGAGAAGAATGAACGGAGGAAACTCGTATTGGGTGATAGACATGGAGGGAGACGACGAGCACGTCGACGATGCTACGGATAGAGAAGATCAGACGCTGGTGAGGAACTATGCTGCTGCGGCTGCCGAGGATGGGGCACCGTACATCAGTCGTGAGGAGCCCAGATGGAAAAGATGCATAGTTATGAATAATCCAGGCCGAGAGGCAATGGGGGAGGTCTTCGGACCCCGGGCGAGACACATACAGGACCTGCGCGTGATCCTGGTCGACGGCGACGACATAGGCAAGGTTATGATGATGAAGCCAAACAGTCGCCGCACCAGACATAGCACCGGAGGGGCCGCGGTAGCCTACCCTGGAGAAGAGCTCGAGGTGGGAGACATGAACTGCAACGGATGGATAGTAGTGCTGACCGGGGAGAGGGAGAGCAGCGACACAGACCGACGCCACGACCAAGATAGAGAGGAAAGCTCCGGATTTGACGACCAGAGCGATGTGTTTGATTCAGAAGGATGGACGCTGTCGGACTTGGAGGAGGAACGGGAACCTGTGGATGAGGCATTCTTCAGGGCCGGGCACGCTGAAACCATCAACCTCGAGACTATGGAGAAGGGCGAATGCGACATAGTCATGTGGGAGGCAGAGAGGAATGCACTGGTCCTTGAACTAAAGGACGACATCCATGTTCCGTTGATAGGATACACCTGGGTTCGTACTGGGATAGCATATCCGGAAGATCCTGGCACAAGTGTGAGAGTGTCTGCGCTTGGACAACTTGTGGCGGAAACTATGTGCGACGTCATAGGATACGAGGTATCACCTGAGCGGGAAATCCTGGTGGCTATACAGAATAGGAATAGCTTTCCCATTACGTTTGGAGGAAGAGGGGGGCCAATCATGAGAATGGAGTTCGCTAAGGGAGTATGTCTGCGACCGAGGATGCGCGGGTGCATGATGCCTGAGAACGTGAAGGAAGTGAGACATCGTAGGGCACATCGGGAGAGCAAGAAAGCAATCTGGGCAAGAGAGGCCCGTGCGAGGGAAAGAGACAGGGATAGTGCGGGTCATGGACTGAGAGCAGGGAGGAATAGAGATGAGGATAGGCGGCGAATCGGCGTCAAGCATGTCTCGGATAGGGCATACAGATGCCGAGAATGTCGACGACTGCTGGAGGGAAAAGCAAAGGTACCTAGTTTGATCCTCACGTCGATGACGCTATGCTTCGCATGCTTCATGAACAAGCATACTACGCCCGTTGATAATTTGATCCGGCAGGGTTATCAGACTGAAGACGAGGAGTATGGAGATGGAATAGTCGCGGTCCCTGCTATACAGGTGGATGCAGATCAAGAGGATAGTTGGGAAGAGGTTGCGGAAAATGAAGTGTGTGATAGCATCGACGAGACAGTAGGAGAATGTGAGCCACTGATGGCCACAATCATAGAGGACGAAGAGGAAGACATCGAGGAAGTGTTCGGACTTGTCGCTAGACCCGTGACGAAAGCTGAGAGGGCGATCAACCCCAAGGCTCGGGCAGCGCTTGATAAGGAATGGAAAAAGCTGATGGATCAAGTGGTCTGGATAATGGAGGAGGTGCGTTCGTGGAAGGACGTTCAACGGGAGGCAATGGATAGAGGGGAAATAGCTCATGTAGGTCGTATCTTCGACATTTGTGTGGAAAAGAACTGGGAGCTTGCTGAAGACGATCCTCTTAGGAAGTATAAGGGGAGAGTTGTGTTTGAGGGATGTCATGTCAAAGACCAGGAGGGAAAGTGGGCCATCTTTCAGGAAATCACATCATGCCCCGCGACACTTGAGGCAGGCAAGATGGCGGACGCCTATGGGATGCTGCCAGGACACGACATCGAGATGTCGGACGGTGAGTCGGCATACACGCAGGCGCTGTTGGGGGGGCCTAAAACATGGATACGGATCCCGAGGGATAGGTGGCCAGATGAATGGGAGGGCATAGACGACCCCGTGGTGCCACTGAGACTAGCTTTATACGGGCATCCGGATGCCGGGGGGCTCTGGGAAAAGCACTGCGAAAA